CCCCACCCCCACCCACACCCACACCCACCCACCCACACCCACCCCCATACACCCACACCCACACACCCACACCCACACACCCACACCCACACACCCACACCCACACACCCACACCCACACACACCCATACCCACCCACATCCACATCCACACCCGACTTATTACGTCTACCATATCAAATAGATTATTAGTTCGATCATCGAAATTTGTTTTTATAGTGTATATATCAATTTGAAAAATTCATTTTCAAGTTATTTAAACACTCCTATTACACTTGGATAAAACAAAGAGTTATCAATTTCAAAAGGATGTGGGTATGGGTGACGCTGGCTGAAGATCAAGTCTTTTTTCACACACACACACCCACCCACATCCACAACCAACTAGAAATTCAGTTTGTGTAGATAATGCGCCTTTTGGCACTTTTTTTTTAAAGTTCTTTATTTTCGTCTTTTTGTTACGGCAGGAGAGAGAATTGCCATCAATGAACAAAAATAAAAAACTGAACAGTAAGAGAAAAAGAAGTATAAAAGAGTAATCATAATTAGAATGAAATGACAGATAGAGAAAATATGTTTGTATTCTCGGATTGAATGGTCACCGATGTGTATTAATATAAACAAAAAAAAATAAGAAGAGAAAGAAACAAACTGAAGCACCTAGTTACTGCTGTTCTTCATGTTGATTTACATTGTCGATATTAGATTCATCACTAGTCCACAGCTAAAAAATTCAAACAAAGATGAGTTTTTGCATAAAGAACATCCCGATATATGAATACTCACAGTAAGATTGTCTCGGAGCAACTGCATAATAAGAGTGCTGTCTGAAAGTGGATGATAAAAAAATTGACTTTACCGTTACTTATCGATCGATGATCTTTCCTCTTACCTCTGTAAGAATCTTCACCGACGGAATCTAGTTCGGCCAAAGCATCGTCAAAGGCCTGTGAAATAGGTATTTAGTTGAATAAAGAAAAAAATACATAAAATCGAACAAACTTGTTTGGCCAAACGACAAGCTACATCCGATTCATTGAGAATTTCGTAATGAAAGACAGAGAAATTTAGAACCAGACCAAGTCGGATCGGATGCGTCGCTGGCATTTGATTCTTGGCTGCATCCAATCCGTCATTGTAGGCACGTTGCGATTCTTCAGCCATTTCTACGACCAATGTCGATACAAATATCTATTTTTGAGCAAAATTCGCTACGTTACTTTGTCGTTTGCTGCCTGTGGCTACTTCAGCCAAATATCGATAATAGTCACCTTTCATTTTCAAATAGAATACCCTCGATTCGGCTGTTGTCGCTTTCGGAATGAGATATTTATCCAGCAAGGTCTAAACTCGTACATGTTTGTTATAGAACAGTCAATTACTGAGTAAGTCTTACCAAAAGTTCTTGACAAGTGTCTTTCAATTCGTTTTCAATCTTTTCGCGATATTCTTTGGCCATTTGTCGCTTACGTTCGGAGCCTTCGGCTTTCTGTTCAATGGTTGACATAGTTCGCCAAGGTGATCGATGAGCACCGATCACATTCTTGTAGGCAATCGAGAGCAAATTACGTTCTTCATTCGTCAGTTCGCTATTCGATTCAACAACACTTTTCATGGCAGCTACCATATCAGCATATCTAAATGAAAACTTACATTACCAGATCGAATAGGTTATGTGAATAGATGCTATACCGTTCAGCGTGTTCAGCTAATTTCGCTAGTTCCACTTGTTCATCCTTGTTCGTCATCGTTCTATATCGTTTTTCTTGATCGCTTGTTCAGTGAGACCAGTAACTAGAATAAAAGTGATATGAAAAAAGTCTCTTCCCAGCTTGCTCCTTCATATAGGCACAAAATACAACATAATATAAAACATGAACTAGGAAAATGGGAGAGATCAGTAGGAGCGAACATGTTCAGCTTATCAAAAAAGCCCAGAAAAATCTCGTTTACAATCGAACAATATCAAATCTCGTCAGCTTCCAGAATACCCACTCAGTGAAAACGTAGCCCAGGAGTAGAGATGTGCTAATGTAAGCTAAACGAAATACTCAGGTATTTATACATTTCTCTCTGCTCTCTTTCTCCGTCATATTTCGCTACTATTCGTTCGCACGTGACGTCAAGCAGCAAGGAATGATGAAAATTAGACTAGGTATCGAGCAAAATAGAACGATCGTGTGATTAGTCATCCAAATGCACAGAACGAACATCGGACGGTGCACAAAGTATGTAGTGCGACGCAGCGTCATTGCTTAGAAACCATCTACGACAGATTTCATATCGATGTGTAACAAAAGAGGGCGCCAGTGTCATATGCTTCTTGATGAAATATCTTCACGACCATTATGAATCATTGAGTATACTGCTTCAAGTGAACAGTCAAAAGAACTAGCTTTCTCTTTCGATGTTTGTTTTATTGTGGTATGGCAATGTATCGATTCCTATTGGATATGTGTGCGGATTGCATAACAAGAATGCAATATTACAGATTTTTTGGTGTTGTATTCAGTGGAAAAAAGGATTCAATGGAATAGCTAAAGAATGGGCGCATTTTATACTTTCTCAGAGGAGAACTTGACCACGTAATGAACTCATTCTATTCGAAAAATACCTTATGCATTCTTGATTTCGAAGATGGTTTTTGAGAAGTTCTTCACGAAGGATAATTTGAACTACTTTCAGAACTTTAGTTTTTATCTACAGCTAAAGCCGAAAAATTGTACTATACTACTGATAGAGTCTAATCAAGGGAACTCTTTGCATTCTTAAGTTAAATCAGTCGACAAAAGTTGACAGATACGATTTAGCAACAGTTATTTCCCTACTGCAGTGATTGTTATGGTTTTAGTGTCCGTTGACAACTCTGTACTTTAAGTTCATTCCTAAACTTTCGCACGAAGGACGACAAAGATTATTTTAGCTCTTGTGTAGCAACCAGCACTATTATGTCTCGAGCATTTATAATCTTTGAACTGTGTACAATATCGGCTATTTGACATTAGTTTTCAGAAATTGCTTGGACAACGTGCGCCTATATATCATAAACTTCGTCAAAGCATAATTCAGGTTAGGAAACTAAGGATGTTAGTTAATCAAGAGAAATATTCTAATGCCCCATATCTTAGTTTTTCTCGAAACAATCGCAATAAGTTTCCTTCTAACGTTGTCTTTTTTTATCTCAACAAAGAAGTGTTGTCATGATCTGAGAATTTTCATCTAAACTCATTTTGTATATAATTGAGTTATAGCGGGAAAATCAGTCGTTTCTGATTTATCGATCAGATATATCGAACGTGCTGCCAAGTTTTTTTTATTTTTGTAGTTGAAGCAAATGATAGAAGTATTATCTTTATCTTTGAAAAATACATTAAATAGTTCGACTGAACCCAAAAAAAGATATCTGAAGACGAGCAATCTAAACTTAATTTTTCTCTGTATAAGGATATTTACTCAGCTATAACTAATATTCCTACTGTAATTAATTATAAACAAGACGATGTTCTAAAGAAACTTTCAAATTATGAAAGTATTTCTTTATTGAGATTTGAAAAGATCATTATTTGCACACAAAACGATTATCTATATTACAATCTCTATTAACCAGCAAAATATGAGTTCAAACGGAGAACTTCAATTGCGTCAATTTCATCATAATATTCAATTTTCTTAGATAAATAAGTCAACTTGATTTTTGAAAAACGTTTTAAATTTAGTTAAGACCTGATGTTATTTTACTATGAAAATACTAATTCAATATTTAGTTTACACGAATCGCCTTCGATCAAAAAGATAAAAATGCATACACGAGATGGATTAATAAAAAAATCAAAGATACATTGTCATCAAATCCTGTTTCGATTGGTATTTGTATAACAGTGATTTTTTTGTATGAACTCTGAACCAAATCTTGTCGATGTGCATTAATAAATCACACTGGTTTCAGTTGAGTTATATATTTTTTGCATTTTCCTTTGATACTTCTTGATAAAGATAAATACATGCACGACGCCATACATTGCCATACACATCTATCAAACGATTGAAAGGATGCACACAAACTTTACATCAGTAACTGGAGATGAGGTTAAACAAATTAAATGTATATCTTCTATCGTTACAATATTATTCAACGGTGCAAATGATTGATCTATTCAGTAATCTATTCGGATCCTCATCTAATGATACTAATCCATCAACATTGTATCAAAATGATACTCAAATAACTCAAACTTCAGGGTGTGGGTTACAGTGGGCAGAAAAAGGGGATCAAGAGCAATTTCCAGTTGCCAAATCGCTTTTAAATCGAGACTATGCGCATTATGTAGGCTCTAATGAGCTATGAATATCCTGAAAAGAGTTCGTGTTTATAGCTTATTTCTGTCAAGATATTTAATTATCAAGGCATTTTTTAGCAAAAAGCCGTGGTTCTCCCTCAGGTTCATCTGGAAAATCAATTTTCCAATTTCAACTTGAAACTTTGTCCAGAGAAAGGTGCTAATGAGACTAGTTTATTCTGAAAGCTTTGGAATATTTGGGTTGCTTCTGTCCCGAGATATGAGTCTAGGAAAAAATATTCCTATTCACATCGCTTATAGCACAAAATGTGAAATGTTCATATTTAAGGATAGGAGCAACCAAGAAATTTGAAACTTTGAGAAATGACTAGTCTCATTGAGACCTTTCTTTGGGCAAAGATTCAAGTCGAAATTCTAAAGTTGATTTTTCAGGTGAATCTGATGAGAGACCATGATGTTATGCTACAAAATACCGTAAAAATCAAATATCTCGACAAGGGTTCAATGCTGCATCTCTGCGCATCCACTGAAGATAGATGATGATATGCACTACCAGATAACAAACCAAAACTTGAATTAAAGTTTCGGGAAACTCCAGGAAACGAATTGCATTACTGGCTAGTGCCAATTTTTCACTATACAGGACCTACGTTTCTGCTCTTATTATAGGCTCAAGAATTTTAAGAAATTCGAATGGCCTGTAATATATAGTAAATACATAACATTGTATAATTATATGATAACTAATGAATATAACTAGATCGTCAATTTAAAACATATAATTTCCTTATATGGTGCCATTAATGATGTTTGCCTATTGTATGTACTTTGCGTATCTGTCTTTTAACAGATACTCGCTATAAAACAGCATTCAGAATGCACTAAAATACAGCACCATACTAGCTCCAATGCTAGCTACGATATGGGTTCAAATCTCGAAAATCGATTTTGTCGCCTGACTCTCCACTGTGTGGGTGTGGCCGTGTGTGTCGGTGGGTGTGGGTGTGATCAAAACAAAACCGACACTCACAACCCACCAACCCCCACCCTCACAACCATATCCGCACATCCACACCCACACCCACCCACACCCTATTTCACAGCACCTCCTGAGAAAGAAACAGAAGATTTGTTTACTTTTATTTCTTCTTTCTTCATTTAGTTTTTCTGACACCTCTAGCGCTTTATATTCGAGAAATCTAATCAAAGCATTAGCTTTTCTCTTGTTTTCTTGACTTATTTACTTCTGTGTTCGTGCGTTGCCCTATGAGAAGTTGGAGTAGGTGTGTTCCGCTTATGTTTTCTCTTTAATCACGTAGTTATGCTCGGAGTGATAACCCACTTGTTATGTCAGTAGAGACATCTCCTGACATAAGACGGCCATCTTTATCCCTCTATCATAGTTAGGAGATGGAACCAACCGGTGGAAGAGGAGAGAAAGAGAGAAAGAACATTCTTTGCTGCTTTGTGTTTTTGATGGATTCAGTTGTTTGTTTTTGTGAAGAAAGAAGGAATAAAGAAACGGGAAAAAGGACCTAACACCACTGTATCTGAAAAACGCAATTTCTTAGTTTAGTTTGCTTCTCTTCGATTAATTGCTTTCATACTTTCTCCGTATCTTCTCAGAAAAACGAGAAAAAGTGATTAAGTTCAATTCCTTTTTATTTATGCTGACAGTTGTTGGAGATTTTATAGAAGCAATAGAATGATATGGCACACTTTTCTTTTCATTTTGTTATATAGTTGTCACCAGTATAAATAGCGTCCGTCACACTCAGAGAAAGCTCGAATAAGTTTATTTAGTATAATTTTCTCTTTTAGTTTTTAGTTACCTTAATATTGAAAGCAAATGTTATGAAAAATACTAAACAACTGAGTCTAGTGGCCTTTTTATCTATTAACAATGTTCGTACTTTCCCCCCATGATTTGAGAGAAATGGAGAGAGCTAGTTCAGCTTTCATTTTCTGTTAAGCTCTTCAGGTATCCTGATAGATCTTGCGCTTTTTATAATGAAAATCTAATTAGAAAACCAACTTTACTTTGGTTTCTTCGCTTAGTCTCGGTGTTAGTTCTGGGTGTACTTTTAGATCATTAGAATAAAAACAGTAACTTTAGTTTGCTTGTTTTTTGATTTAGCCATTCGATAGTTGTCGAGCATCATATGGAAGGAAAGCGAATAGATTGGTTTTGTTTTGCTTTATTAATGTCGACGATAATTTTCTGCGTCTTATGAGGAAAATCGAAAAAAATAGGTTGGCTTAATTTTTTCTCAAAGTTTATTTCTGATGTATTCGTTCAGTATTTCACAAGGAGGACACAATACATCAGTTTACGTGTGTTTTCTTTCCGTGATTTGCTTTTCTGATAGTTATTGAGATTTTTGTGCAGGAAAATAGCACAATAGAAATCACTTTACTTTTATTTTCGTGTTCTTTTTACTGGATATTCTTTGTGCTATATGTATGGTCGTTCTTTTATATGTAGACTAGATTAAAGAATAATTTGTTCCAAAGCACTGGTTCATCAGCATATACTCTTTTATTTGTTGAAGGATTGCTAACACGTAAAGAAAAATGACGAAACTCATAACTCTAAAGTATGATAAGTTGAGACCATATGGCATCATCAGTATGATTGCAAGTTATCGAAATTGTAAGCAAGATTTATAGACACTCATATATATTGTTTGTCAATATTCTTTTTGTCTCAAAAACATTATATAAATACAGAACACGAATAAAAAAATATTTTCTTTTAAACCTTACAAAGGCTAGACTTATGTAACACATTATCAATAGACAACTTTTGGTTTTATTTATTTTTTTATGAAGAAATGTTTGAATATGATAATAAACGTTATTATTTTTATTTTTACTTAGAATTCGTATCGGATTTTTGTTATTAGTGTTTAAGTGAAGATTTATTTGTAGCACAAGTTCTGTACAAAGATATCAAAAAATGTGAGTAAGAGTCCGATTTAAGGTCTCGTGAAAATACAGTTAAGAATCAATAAAGAAAAGAAGATGATTAAGAAAGAAATACTGTAGCGTTTTTCTCAGATAGTGAAAGAAGCGTAAACTTGTGTAATTTAGTTCAATGCAGTCATTTAAGACGCCTGGCATAAATGGAATTATGAGAAATAAAACTTTAAGCAACACCAAATGAATTTCTAGTAATCTCATGTCCTTTTCACTTGAATCGTGCAATACTTAGGCATTCAGTTTTCGCTGCTGGCTTACGGAGCGTTGTATTTTGTATCATCCACTGCGAAGAATATTTCTCAATAAAGAGTAAATTGGAGTTTAAGTGAAGTACAGATAAAATGTAGCTTAGGTCGTTATTGATACATATCGTATTTCATAAAGATCAACTATGAGAAGTTCAGCATGAAAGCTATACTGATCCAGTATTTTTGCTAACACAAAATAACTTCGAATGACTGGAATGATCTCATTTGACATATAGTGATCGAAAACTATACATTTTTCTTCCACTGTTGAAAACAAATTGCTATTCTTTTTCTTTGTCTGTCTCATTATATTTCTATAATGTGATGATAGCAACTGACTCATTGATAAAGCTATAGTCAAAAATGATTTATACAAGTTGTGCTCAATTCTAAAGACCTTCAGAATGTAGTGCTCGAAAATTGAGCATGTGTTATTTATTGGCAACGTCCTATATTTTCATTATGGTTCCTAACTCTGAAGAGCATTTTCTCAAAACGTATTTGTATGATAGTCATAGAGCTGTATAGAGGCATCAATAAGACTCGTTTATTCATTTGTATTTCATCTAAGTATTAACTTTGTTCCGTACATTTTTGCAAGTAGGACAAAATCAACTACTATCGATCAACAAACTGGTACATTGGTGGATTTTTTAACGGACGTTTTTGTGCACGTGGAGACAGCTAGTCAGATATACCGTGTACAAATACATTCTCTTTCTGAGAGAAAGGATGCTCATCGATTAATCGGCTATATGGTGCTTGTGGACAACTAATGAGATCTAAAGAACATACTGATATTTCGTTAAAGAATAATAAATAAAGAAATGCAAAGTATTCGCTTTCTTCTTTTTAAAATGGAAATCAATCCCATAATGTAAACCAGGAAATAGTAGAAATATAAATAATGTTTGCATCGTAATATGCTGTCATTAATACCATTTGCTCTTCTCTTACTCACAAGATCAACATGCTCAAATCTTTTTCTCATCACCATTTCAAGAAGAGAGAGGAGTCATACAAGATACTTAGCAAAAATATCACACTGTTTGTTCGCAACCATCATTGTTTTTCTCTTATAATAACTCTCTTTAGGCTACTGTATTTATAGAAACATACTTTTCATTGTTACAGTCTATGGAATGAATCTTTGTTCAGGAAGAACAACAAACAAAAAAGGTCCTATAGTCGCATAGTTTCCTTTCAGAATGTGTAGTGATTTTTCTTTTTTTTGCTAAAAGTCGGTGACTAATGCGCAAATAGGTGCACCACAAAGGCGACATTTTTCTTCTCAGTGTCAACTCGAGCGAAAGCAAGCGACGAAAAAAAATTCATCGATGAATTCATTATAAAGTAAGCACAGCACAACTTTATCATGGGAAATGACGATGTTTGATTTGCTGGCTGGTTGTTGTTTCACTCTCGGAGAAGATTCAGGGAAAAGGATTGTTTACCCAATCAATCCAATGTAATGTAGCCATGAAAAGCATCAGAAAAAAAAGTATAAGAATATTTTGCATCATTGCAATTTTTTTATTCAGAAAAAAAAGTAAATTCACTTCAATTAACAGTGTGTATATATGTCACCTGTAGCAGCAACATTATCATTGGTAAGCATTGCTTGAAATTTACGTCATTCAGCGCTATGAAAATGCGACTTGTTTTGTCTAATCTATTGCTTTCAAAGGAAGTTAGGTAATGTCTAGTATATTCATATCAGTCTTCTAATTACCTTCTTCTACAGTTTGTTTTTATCGCTTTCTTACATCGTTGGTCATTCATCTTCCTCTGCACTATTTTCAACTCATTACCTACTTCGTTAATCCCTGTTATCTACGATGAGAGAGCCTTCTATTTTTCATATCCCACTAAACTTCCAGGATATTGCTATTTTCAAAAGTTAACTAGGGTTTGGGTGTGGGCGTATTGAAATAGAAAGAAACACCCACACCCACACCCACCCACACCACAGGAGAATGAGATGATGTCCTTCTGGTTTTTTTAGAGTTTCAATGCCGACAGCTCACATGCCGATATTGGTCAAGATGGGTGTAGGAGTATGGGTGGATATAGCTAAAGACTTCCATCTTCTAATAACCCACACCTACCTTCCTTTTCTTTTACTGAAATGAAAGACTAGTAAGTATATACACCAAAAAAGAATGAATAGGAATAGATAAAGATTTTCCAGTCTTTCATCTCGGTAGAACAGAAATAAAAAACCAGTCTTGATATTAATTATTATTCTGCATAGTTTTATCGTTTGTTAATTGTGGGAACAGCCCACTAAATTTCAAGATAAATTCTAGATTACGTTCAAGGCACATAGTAATATTCGTGTGAGAGCTTTGTACTGCTAATTTCCGTCCTATTTTGGTAATTGAATCTATCGCCATTACAGTGAAGTAGTATTGAAGATGGCTTTACGTTCTAATGGTGACGATACTACACAGACTGTCGTTCCAATATATTTTGGTTGCAACACGAAATTTGGTGATGCTGCTTCTACACCCTTGAAAATGATCAAGTTGCATGTTGAGCAACAAGTGAATGCAACATTTCCACTCATACATCAGGTGGCAACAACAATGACATTTAAAAATGATTATAACAGAATATTAGAAGGAGCTTTAGAATTTACATTACCTGAAACCGCGATAATCTGTGGATTCGGTGAGTAAAGTTACTACAATAATAATTAACGTTAGGTTTCGATTTGCTGTGAAATAATAATCAATTTCAACATTCTCTTCCATAGGTCTTGATGTTGGAAAGGAAAAAGCTCGGGTGACATTTGAACAAGAAGTCCGGAAAGGTGTTGACCCTGGCTTAGTCGAAATGGTTGAAGGAAATATATTTCGTACGAGAGTTTATCCAATACAAGCCGGACGCACACGAATAGTAAGTGTCACTTATCAAGATCGAGCAAAAGTCGAAAATGATCATTTTCTATTCAATATTCCGATCTACTTTACTACTTTTCATTAAATTGTGCACAAACAGGAAATAATTGTCAACTAGAGTTTCTTTCAAATATTAAATTCAAACAGCCTTTTGTATACTCAAATGGTAAATATTGCTCCAAACTTCACCAAGTTAACGTTGAACCATTGGAAGGTGAACAGTCGATTTCTTATATACTTAAAAATTTGGCACCAGGACAACCCGTCTACAGCGTAGAAATTGATCACGATGATCATAATCAAGCCTATTTTGCTCTATCGTATAGGCCACCATTACCACAATTCAATGAAAATGCACTTGATAGTCAAAAAACAATGTTCGTTTGTATATTATGGGATGCAAGCTTAAGTCGGTCTAATATTGAAAATCGGAATCACGAAATAAATATGCTCAAAATTATATTAGACACTTGGCAATCAAATGGCATTAATGTTAACTTAACCGTAGTTGTATTCCGCAATGTATTTGAAGAACCGAAGACATTTCAACTAGATGAACAGGATTATTGGTCGAAACTTGATCAATTTTTAACCAATCTATCATATGATGGCGCAATAAATTTATGCCAACTAGCTACAATTTCAACTAGGGTTCTAAATGTGACGCACTATTTTTTATTTAGCGATTGTCTTTGGACAGTTGGTAATGATGATCCAACACTATTCGATCGGTGGACAACAAAACCAATTTGGATATTGAATGCCAATTTCGCGCATGAATCAACAAATTTTTCATTGATTAATCATTTAACTAACCTCAGTGGCGGTGGANTTTTGACCATACCCTGAGGGGTACCTCAGCTCAATTTTTGAAGGAAAATCAAAGTAGTCAAATCATTTTGTGACATACATGGATCGACTCAGTTTTTTACGCTGATTTCAAATGTATCATTTGTTTTTATGGGAAGTCAACTTCTAAAGTGAGAATCGGTCAAAGTCTTAAAAAATATGTCTGAAAAACACTAAAAATATGGGTGTTTCTTCTAGTATTGACTATGTTTCTCTAAAGATCCTTCGATTTTTAATACGTTCTCTATGACTGATGAAAGACCACAACTAGGCACAGTTTCTGAGAAAAAATCACGTTGCTACTACTATGTCTTGAAGAAGAATGAAAGATCACAAAAGTATCAAAAGACTTGAAATTCTGAATTTTTGATAAAAAATTTTGATATTTTCTATAAAAAAAAATTTTTTTTTTCTTTCAAACGAAATAATGAAATTAGCAAAGTTGTAGAGCGAAAAAAGCTCTACAAAACCAAGTAAGACAATAATTATTATTTTCTTCTGATAAGGACCATTCCCATGTAATAGTATAATACTGTGAACCTAAATATTTGACTATTTAAAAATATATTCCATATGGGAAAAATTCGTGAAATTTATTAGAAACAAAGCGGTTCTATATATCAATAGATGTAACTTTTCGAGCTCTACATAACTATGTAGTTTGTTTTTCGAAATGAATAAGTTTTGAAATCCGGCGGGGTCCTTTCAAAAACTTTACAAGAACGAAAACCAGGTTTTATTAAAATTCGAAACAGTTTACCAATAGATTTAAGCGAGAAATCAGTTCTGAAAATCTCTGAGTCTTGATGAAAAAGTGTAGTCACAGCATATAACAGATTTTGGCCTGATTGGTAACAAGATCACATCAAGATATACGTGGTAGAATATTGCAAGATATCTGTTAGTCTGTTATTGAAAATCCTGCAATATCCTTTGAGAGCTTTTCAAGGAACTCCAAGCCAGCATCTCACACATACCCACATCGATACTTCTAGAGACCTAAGTGATCATCCGTTTTTAGTCACGATCACGTCATGGCCACTAGCGACTGGAACTCATGACCGATTCGCCGGTCGCTACATGTCACTGAAAAAAACCTGATGATAAGCAGGAAGACGATGACGAAGATTATACTTCAACGAAGAGTAAAATTAATGAAGGAGATGAATATGATCGTAAAGTAGGCAGAATGAAAGAAAAAAGCAGTGTCATCAGAATCATAGTAAAGTTGTAGCTCATACTAAATAATCTTGTTCTCCTCATATCATAGTTTTTCTATTGATCATACTTAAGATGAAATATAAAATAGATAAGAAAGAATGTTCCTATTTTTCGGCTATCTAGCGGTATGAGATACTGCTCCTAGCGGCAGATTCAATAGTCTGATATCTTTCGTACAATTACAACCAGCTGTAGCTCTGAACAGAAGAACAGCCTAATGAAGAGTTCTTGCGCTCAATTGCTTGAGCTTCCCATACATGCCTAACTAATCACATACTAGCCACAAGAGTAGTATATGTCACAATGCAGTGCGTATGCTATTGGACGAATTATCCGAGACAAGCAAATGTTAGTAACTTGTCCGGAGTCATTTCATGATAATATAAAATATGAATATAATGAAAAGTTTCGACTTTTTTTTTCAATCAAAATAAGAGCAAGATATCAATAGATTTTGGTTTTCGCAATAAGGAGTCGATCATGATCACAAAACGTGCTTTGAAGTCCATTCGAGATCTTATCGGCTTCTATTTAAGTATTTTGTGCTGAGAAAAATAGAAAAAATATATCGGCAGGCAGAAACGATCGCTTTGTGCGTCCCCTTCTAAATTTGCCACTGAGCTATGTTTTTTTCCCATTTACTTGCTTAAATACTATCCATTACGGTCATGCGTGGCCACGACCGCGACTCTTGACCAATATGTAGGTCTTCAATATCCATCCGCACCAGAACCATCGAACGCTTACGCCGCCTACATCCACACCCACAGCCACAAGCGCTGAAACTCAAACCGTCACCAACCACCCTTTCAATCCATGCATACGAATGTCTAAACTCAAACCAATCGTCACGTACATCTATGGAGAGCTCCACTCCAGCACTCAGATTTAAGACTTCACCCGCATTCACTTACACATAAACTGTCACACCTCATATCCCAAAACTAACCCCTCCTTTCATATAAACGCATACTTCATTCTCACGAACATGCACATGGAAAACGATAATTACACTCAGACACCCACTTCTCACTCACACTATCTTAATGAGATCAATAACTTCCGAGCGATTCCGAACTGATGTAGGATACATTGCATAAAGGGGGCCATGAAATCAGTCTCTTTTTTTATCTTGGTTCTTAATAGTGTCATTGTAAAATATCTATGATGATCGGACATTGAGAGTAGATGTCTCAAACTTTTCGAAGATGACTTAAGTAGAAGCAGCGATGTGAAGAAATGAATGCCGTAGAATTCTATTCTCATTGGATGCAAAAATATCCCTTTGAAACAGACATCATTTCATCATTGCCAAAGTCGTAATGCTACACAAATGCAATACTGTTTATCGACGTTGCAGTAGCATGAGAGTCGTTGCTTCAACTTGAAAGATTTCTTTTTTTCTATTCTTCGTTGGCAACGTAGAATGTATATGCAAATGAATGCCTGTTGAATACCGTAGAGAGAAATGCAATTCGTTCTCTGTTTACTTTTGTTAAAGAACGTGTACAGACAAGGGGCACATATTCTTGCCTTTTCTCCTGCACATTACTCACTGGTGAGAAAGAATTTTGACTCTTAATAAAAAAACTGCATTGTTTCTTTTTAAACCACCGTTGAGTTTCGTAGGATCATTCTAAATTATGACACAGTGTTAAACCGTGCCCACAAATTCTAAATCGAATCGTGAGTATTATCCCAAAATATAGAACAAATCTTCAGAATGTACTTAAGGGTGAGGATTGGTTCGTCTGTCAGTAGATGATGGAAAGGCTCCTCTCTTCATCCATCACACCTGCACTGGTATCTGTTAAACACGCGAACACCGACGCGCATCTATTGTGAGAAGACATGTATGACTGTAGATGGACGTTTAAGGCCTCCCCCCCCCCCTAAAAAAAAGTCAATTTTCGTCAAAAATTTCGAAATTGAGATAAATGCATGGGAAGATAGCCCTCGGTCTGCTCTTTCATAACTGATAAAAATTTTTCCTCGATACCTCTTTTTTGTCCAAAATTTTCGAAGATTTTCGTCACCCCCTATTCGAAAAACCAGCTGTTTTTTGAAAAATCAAAAAATGTTTTTCGTTTTTTCTCGGTTTATGATTTTTTGATTTTCGTTCCAAGATTTCTCAGTCCAGTGTCGTTCAATATATTAAGTTTTTTTTTGTTTGAAAGAGCGCGTCAAGATGCAGGGCAATATAGAGTCCTTTTTTTAATTAAGCTTTATTTTTTATTATATAGACAGACACTTATGTGACTGGACACCTATTTTTGGCGCGTTTTTTGAGTCATTGAACTTGTGAGCCCCTTTCTCCGCAAAAAAAGTAAGAATTTAAAAAAAGGACTCTATATTGCTCTGCATCCTGAGATGCTCTTTCAAACAAAAAAAAATTTAAATATGTTGACAAAGCCCGAACCGAGAAATCGTGGAACGAAAATGAGCTATTTTTGACCCTTGTTTTGGTTCATATCTCTGTCAAACGTTGGGATATCGAGCTGAAAATTTTACCACAGTCTCCCCACTTCAGCCCCAACATATGCTCCAAATTTCAGCCCATTTGGACGTTTATGGGCTGAGATCGACTTTTGAGGGGGGGCGGGGCCTTAAGGGGTTTTGATGTGAAAAGAAAACCTAAAGCGAACACCTACATTAAGACCGAGTAACCAAGAGCGTTATTAAGAGTGTCAGTCTTCAATGTCTGCTTGGTTCCAATATGGTTTCTAACATAGAGAATACCATTAGCAGGGTGTGGGTGTGGGTGGATGTGGGTGAGAATTTTCTCTAAATCCAGCACCACACTCACATTAATCGGTATTCAGAACTGTCAGAATTTACATCCACACCCTGATAGTCCTTCGAAGAGGATTATATATGATGGTGTATAGGAAACTTTCCGTTACTATGATTCTATATTTGATTGATATTCCAATTCTCATTAAAAACAAGTGAATATAAATATACTTTTTAATTCATTCTATGCGTGCGACATAGCGATGAATTTTAAAGAGAAATATTATTTCTGTGTATATTGATGAATTCACTGTATCGTCAGTATTCTATAGTAAATTAGATATATCTTCGTTTAAAGAAGGCTTAATGGAACTTTTGTCATCGTATTATTGTGAAAATCGACTATGCTCTAGACGATCAGAACGGCGAAAGTCATGTATAAAGGATCGTAATTAGGATCAAAGATCCACAGACTCATAGAAAGCAAGCTTGTGAAATAAATTAGCTGTGTGTCGTATATGTCATCGAAATACTAGATAGAGTACGTTGAGGAGAATGGACTACGAAATAAATGATGACAGCAAACTAGTAGGGTGGTGTATGAATGGAAATAAAAAAAATTAAAAGAATTAGCAACAAACTTTAGACTCATAACCACAACTCTTGACGAAGAGATGCCTCAGTCATAATAACAGATTCTGTCTTGAATGTTTTAATTAATTAGGATATTGTATGTGTAGTCAGTGTATCCCATAAGAAAAAAATATCGAGGATTCAGTAATAAGAATCGAAAATTAGTGAAAACTGAAGCCTAGATTATTCCTACATATTTTTAAACCTGAAAAATCTTTAAAACCTTTCAAGCTGAGTGTCTGAGAATATTGTACTTTATTACATTATTAGTCTCGCCTTCCTCGTTACAAGAGGTCCCTAATATAGTTTCTTTTATAATAGATCTTTCGTTACATTATACATAACATTAGACTCTCTTTAAAATGGCTCATTTTGGAACAAAACTGCTGGCCTTTGCTTCGCTTTTGTTTGTT